CGGGTTTTTAAGTTGCTGCAGGTATGTGCAGAACCTGGTCATACAGGCATATGTAGACAAGGTGAGAGTGTGAGTTAGCAATCGCTTTGGAAAGAGCTTGAGAGATGCAAGACCTTGCTTACTTTTCCCTTACCCTTTCTCACTGTTCATTGGCAGTCCTCTGCAGGGGAATTGGTTCTGCCGCCTCTCAACTGCATCATGGATTGTACAAGCGCTCCTGGTCTGCTTTCCCCCAAAGTCAGATAGGATTGCTCATAGTATTGCTGAAAAATAGTTGAGATAACTCAGCAGTCTTTGTACTGAAGTAAAAAAAGGGCACTTAAATGCTTCATCAGCCGAACTCCTCAGCATGATGGTAACTCCCAGTAGGAGGAGCAGTAATGTTTAAAATAGGTCCTTCTAATTCCTAAAAGAGGGAGATATATTTAAGGTGGCATTTTGGAGACCTCTGCAAGTGTATCAGTCTGTAGATAGAAATGTCAACTATACAAGAGAGACAATAGGGAAAAAAGGATAAGTCTCTAGTTATATCTTAATTAATTTTATATTTATGCATTAAGTTAATCAGGTTTTCTATAGCAATGCCAGAAATTTTAGTGGTAGTCATTCAAAAGTATTTAGGTTTTCCCCCAGCGCCCTTAGATGTTGATCTATGGCATGACTGGGCAATGCTCTCTCTGCTTGGCTGGAATCAGTTATCTGTTAAACTCATAGCGAATGCAGTCCTTAGGAAGGAACAAAGGCCAGCTAAGAAACGTGAAAATGAGCTAATTTTATAAAATTCTAGTTTTAATTTTTTGATGTGTGTATAGGTTAAGGCCAAAAACTGGCTAAAGGTTCTCATTTAAAAAAATTAATAAAGTCTTTCTGTAATTCTCCTGTTACCCCTAAATCAGCTTCATTTAGTGCTAAACCTTCCCTCCTCTTTGCTCCCCCCAAGAAATAAGTATTCAAATGCTGCAATAAATATTAATGCCTTTCCCAGATGCAACCACTTAAAATATATATGTATATATAACGACCTACCAAATACTTCATGCAGATGCCCACTTGCAGCTAAAATTTGACTGGAGAAACTCTGAAAGGGAAAAAAAAGAGATGTGGTTCAACTAGAGGAAAGATGAAAATTCTCACGTGTGCATCTAAATAAAGCTAAATTAAATCTGGGGTGATGGGACGGAAAAACTGTCTTAGTGCAGCATATCTGGTGGCCTCCAAAGAAACTGCCAGTGTCTTAGCAGAGGCAATAGATATGACTACTGCCCCAATGCTGAAGTACTAAAACCCAAGGCCAGCACTTTCAAAAGTGAGATGAATTACTGATGCCCAATTTGTGATATCTTAAAGGTGCACAATTTTCAGCAGCTCAGGTGGTCAGCAATTGCCAAAAGTCAGGCACCTTCAAGTTGTCTCAAGTGGGACTGCCAAAATTGCTGTTGGATAAATAACCTAGCTGAATACCCTAAAGCTTAGTGCGTTTGCATGCTGAATCTGTTTGTTGCAAAGCAGTTGATGAGCGATGAGAATGCTCTCCATCTTGTAGGAGGCAGACAGCTCGGAAAGGAGGAGAGTTTTGTTTTCTGTGTATTTTTAATGGTTGATACACCTGTTGGTATGAATCAGCACAGATCTAATGGAAATGCAAGTTAATTTTCACATACGCTGCTGATTTACATTTGCTGGGGATCTGAACCCCAATTTTCTGGAAACATTTAACAGAAAATACGAATTTAGTTCATTGCCATGCAGTGTTGCAGAGTTCAGTCATGGATACCGTTAGACATACATTTAGAATTTTTACTTTTTAGTGTCTGCCTTTTAGGTGTGTGTGTAACATACAGTACCGCAGTATCTCAGCTCTTCCCAAAGTCCGTTCAGCTGACACAGCGAGTTCTCTTACACACACCTTTCTTTGCTCTGATTTTCTTCGTTCTTTAGTTCATGTTGAGCATTTTTCTCACCTGGATGAATAGGGATGCAAGCATTTAAAAAATTAAAAAAGGAAACAACATTTTCCTGATTAATTTGATCTTTTATTTTTCTTTCAAAGTAACAACTTCTTGTGGATTTTTGTTTGCAGTTATCCTCCAAAACAATCAGTTAGCCAGCAGCTCATTGATTTTCATGTAAAAGTTACTTGCCTTGGTTTCATTATACAGTTTGATTACGTTGTGCAGTTTTTCCTTCCATCGATAGATCTCAGTAACATAAGCAGTTTATGTATCGGCAAATATTTTTTGATATCTGTGAGAAGAGGGCAGGATAAAAAGAAGTGTTTGTGAGTAACATTTCTGGCTCAAATTCTCCTGTGAATCTTTGAGTGTGCCAGCACGCAGAGCATTTTTCTTCTGAAAACATTCTTACAGATAAAATCTTGCTTACCGAATCATTCAAATAAAAGAGGTCACAGGTTTTAGCACGAGGAGTCAATAAGACTTATTTGATAGAATATATTCTCTCAGTGCTGCTCCTGAGGCATGAAGTTCTGTAGGATTTTGAGTGCGGAATCCAAGGAGGTGAGCAGGGCTGTGTTCCCAGAAGTTGCCCTCTGACAGCCGAGCACCGACCCATCTCTCCTGCTGAGCCCGAGTGCCAATGTGCAGAGCGACCGCAGCAGGACCCTGCACTTTCACCCTAATCTGTGCCACAGGAAGGACCAGCGAGCTCTTTAAGTCGTAAATGAGAAGGAATGGTGGAAATAAAACTAACAGTCTGCAAAGTGCACACATGGAGAAAATGAATATTTTAGATATTTTTCAATTGTGAGAGATTTAAGGAAGAAAGGAACATTTTAATTTAAAAAGCTCACTGGAAGGATGTGTTTTGTGACAGTCATTTTAGATGATGTTATCTGGGTCTTTTTTTGTGGGTTCAATTGTTGTGAGGTTTTCGAAGGGTTTTGTTTGTTCAAGCAACACACAAATGGATCAGATCCTTCGATATTTCTTTGTATGTTTGGGGCAGATGGAAGAGAAATACCACGATGTAAGTGGTGCAAAGAAAGTAGTAATAACAAGGGAGAGTGGATTTCTGCTTTATTGTCTTGTGTTAAGACTATTTTGGTTGTTGTTGTTGTTAAACCCTAGGAAATATACATCTTTCTCCTTTAAAGTTCTAATTCAAGGCATGAATGTGTGAGTTCTGAAGGGACTTAGGGACTGCGGTAAAAAATCGTTGTCATAGTAACAGAAAGGGAAATAGGCCTGGCTCACCTGGGACTTTAACTTACTGCAAAAGCAGAATTTTTTTTTAAGGAAAGCACTCAGCAAGAGAAATAAATAAATAAACTGCTCTTTGTATTCTAAATCAATTCTTCAACTATTTATTTTTTCTTATTTACAAGTCTTTTTCCTTCTAAATCCATCTGAAAGTCTCTGATTATTTTTTTATTTTAATTGTTGCAGTTAAACCCATTTATCTGACAAATGGAAATGAAAAGAATCACAGAAAATATTTTCACTTGCGATAGAAGATGCCAAAAAAATTTCTTGCCTGTTATGTCTGAATTTTGAAGGCATGCTTTTTTTCTGTTTAATCCAACAACTGTGATTTTTCATGTAGTTTCTTTACCTCTGAAATGCACAGATTTAATCAGATTAATCAGATGACAAAGGGATGAATCCTCTTCTCCCTGGATTTGATACAAAATTTCGTGGAAAAGCTTATAGAAAAATGCCTGCCTAATATTTCTAAACTGTAAAATCTATATGCCCTGGTTGGGGGCAAGCCAATCAAGCATGCTGAAGATTCAACTTGTGTACATGACAAGCTAAACTCTACAGACTAATAACACCCAAAGATAGGCATATGTGACAGGGCAAAAATAATGGGCACGAGAACTTTGTACAATGTTAATAGGTTTATCTGCTTGGACAGCATGAGCTGTCATGTATTACTTCAGGTTGTGTTTTTGTTATCTTCTCTCAAAATCTGTGTAAGATTATAATCTGGACTGTTGGCAGTTCTGCTTCTCTGCTTTAGTTACTGAAATTTTAATAACCAAAAAACATGGTCATGATGAAATCTCATCAGCTTCTTCTGGGAGCTGTATTTGTTTCTATGTTTTTTAATACATTCTAAGTAGTTTCAAGGCTTATCTGCCTCAGAGTTGCCGTGTCGGTTTTTGTAGTTTTACAATACATTATCCTTCTATATTGTTGCACGGAAAATCCCTTCAGACAGTGAAAGAAAGACCTTGTATGCAAGGGAGAGATAAAGAGAGAGACTAAAATCGTGTGATCAGACATGCAGTGAGGAAACGGGCATAAATCGAAGTAGATACGTTAAGTTACACCAGCTAGCAGCCCAGCTCAGAGTGGTTGTACTTTACCCAATTGCTTTTTAACTTCTGTTTGTTAGGGTTTGGTTTTGTTTGTTTTGTTTCTGTTTTCGTAAGTTCTTACAGTCCTGGTCTATAGACACACCATCATGTAAATCACTACAATGTGTACTTTAAAACACAGTATAACAACACGTGTTTTGTTATGGTTAATAGGAGTGACACGGTTCTTTATCTTTCCAGATTCTTCTTAAAATTTTTTCTCAAGTGCAATCAGAATTGTTTGAAAACAGCAGGAAACCCAAGAGATATGAGACGGTTCCAGGTAAGTCTTATAAGGCTCAGCATTAACCTGTCTGCTTTTTTCCTTCTTTTCCTTTTCCCTCTCCTCTCTCCTACATTGTTCATAATAAATATGATGACAGTATATCATAAGCCATATCAGATATTGTTAAAGTTTTTCTCCATTTGTTGTGTTTAAACCTTTTTTCCCCCTTTTTTCTTCTTTTTCCACTCTAAATCCCCAAGGGGAAGTGATGTACTGTACCAACCAGCAGTGGATATTTGATTTGACACCCTCGGGCAAAGCACTCGCACATACAGCTGCCCACAGCAGGGATCATGTTTGTGATACTTAGATGCCTCAGAATTTTTCAAAGTAGCTCTGTACGTGGTGCACAAGCACTCTCCTCATTTCCCTCCACTCCCTATCTCTCTCGCCTTTTAACTCTCTCATGCCTTCCCTTTCAACTTTTTTAAAAAAAGGAGCCAAAATAGTGATGGTCACTTTAAGATCTCACACAGCAAAGCAACAAGACCCATGGGACAATGACCCAGCTGCTTTGCAGTGAAATCTGCCACTGGTTTCATCATAGCTGTCGCTGATGTATTGTGAATACCAGCTAATAAAAACACAGAAGGAGGTGAAGTGTGTCAGTGGTGAAGAGAAAGGCAGCCTCAGTCTCCCTTCTTTCATACCCTTTTAAACAACCATGTTTAATAAATAAGTATTTTACCTGTAACTTAGCCCTCACAAAAATGTAAATGGAATGCTCAAGCCTTTTACGTCGTGGCTGCACTGTCATGTCTCTGTGTGGTGTGAAAGGTGGCACGGCAGAGAATGCTGTAAAAAAATGGTGCTAGAACCAACTCTCATGCAATTGAGGGTGAGGCAGCAAGATTGCAAGTCAGATGGTTGGACTTCACCACTAATTCACTGGGTGACCTTTGATGAGTCATTTTTCCTTTCTTTTAGTATGTATTTCCACCTCTCTAAACGGGGTTGCTCACCTTGGTAAAACTTGGTGGTCTGGATTCAGAACAGCGTTTGAGAAAGTGCGTGCTTTGCCAGCCAGAGCCTCTGGAATCTAGTGATGAAAATCAGGGCTGTCCTCGTCAATGCTGTTACTGCTTGTTATCATTACGATTGTACCTTCACAGTGTCACATCCCTGATACAAATTGGATTTTAGCTAATTGAGGGATGTGTGATTTTTCTTGTAGACTCACAAGACTTGTAGTGGGAAGGTGACATCCTTAGGTTTGGCAATTCATTTTTCATTACTTGCACAATTGCATCATCTTCCTCATTTATAAATGAAGTTAAAACTCCACAGGAGTTTACAGAGCTGTTTAAAACTTTCCACCAAAACAAGATTTCACAGACAAATGTTTTGTTTTTTTTTTTTTTACTTGCAATGAAAAAATCACAGGAGGTATATTTTTATTAAAAAAAATTAAATCAACTTTTAAGTGAAATACTGCAAAATGAAAACTGCTGAAAGCTCAAAAAATTCTAAAGAAATGTAGAAAAAATATAAAACCATTGTGAATTTTTTGTTTTGAGCAGAAATAAATGTAAAGAAAAATTCCTGACCAAGTTAATTTTTTTCACTGGTAGTTTAAAGAGACTCCAGTGACTTCTTCATTGTGTGTTTTTAGAGATGATAAGACATGAGAAAAAAAGAGATGCTCATTGTTAGGAAACTTATACTGATTTTTTTTTTTAAGTGGCAATTTTCATAAAGAAAAAAACACCAATTAGATATGATCGGCCAAGAATGCAAAAAAATCTGGGAGTAAAGTAAAACTCAATGTATAGCATGTAAACAGATCTTGTTAGCAATCTGAGCCAGCGAGAATAGCGGATTGTGGAATGTAATGAAACATAAATACAGAGTCTCTTTTTTTGTTTTGTTACGAATTTGTAAAAAATCTTGCACGAGGGTATGCTGATTAGCACCTGGGGATTCTAGGCGCTGCCATATTACAAATAATATTGGTTGTAACAGCCAAAACAGAAAATCTGGATCCAAACACACCTGAACACTGAAGAAATTCAGATCTGATTTCAGTCTCATGCTAGCTGCCCCCTCACTACGGTGAGCGAAACTAAAATCCTAGATTTTGATCAGGTGCTGAACTGCAGAAGGATTTTGGATCTAGGTTTTTTTGGCAGAAATTGATCTCTAGTATCAGCCTTATTCTTTGTTTCACCTCTGTCTCCACACTCCAAATGGTGATTTTGCAGAGCCTGAACAGCTTCAAATTTCCAGTGAAATATCGAACGGGGAAACTGCGCTGACTCTTACAGCAGCCATGTGGTTACTGATGGAATGCCTTCATTCCTTCAGCCCATCCAGCTGGTATGCCTCTTGTATATGAGAAAGTATGGCCTTGCTTTTGATCTTTGTACCAAAATCAAGAGTTTATTGGAGAAGAAAACAGACTGGTAGACTCTTCATCTGGGTTCTTCTGCCTTACAACGTGCCAAGCCAGAAAAACGGAGCCAAGTGAAACTCTCTGGTTCTGTTTTGCAGGGCTGACTTAAACTCCTTTTGCACTTTCAGTCCATGTGAGTTCATAGCCTTTGAGTTTCATTGTGAGATTAAAGTTCAAACCCCCAAATTAATTAAGATCAGGCAAAACAAATAGGTATATCTTAGTTTTGGTCAAAACCAAAAATGTTGACAAGGCTTTGTTTCAGAGTTACAAAAATGAATCCTTTGAGACAAATGGTAAAATGCTTGAGGTTTTGAGTGAAAGCAGGATCTTCATTCAGGCTTGTTCAAAACTGGATGCATTGGTTGATAAACTCTGTTCTCAGCTACACAGGTCAGTATGTATAAAAACCGATACAAAAAGTAGTTCAATTGCTAAAATTTTACACATTGGGAGTAAAAAAGCTCTGTTGTTCCAAAGGAAATTAGCCATGATGAACTGTAAAGACAATAAGCAAAGACAGCTTGTTTTCTGTCTGCCTCGTTTCTAAGGATAGAAGCATGACTTCCCTGAATGTAAACAAAGTTAAGATTGCTCTGAAATGCTCCACTGTGTCTGTTTTCTGGATCCTCTTTTTTTTTTTTTTTTTGGTTGGTTGATTTTTTTTGGTTTTGTTTTGGTTTTTGTTTTTAAATTTGGGCAAACACATTTTTGCCTGCTGCTTGTTGAGCATGGTCTGTCAACTACTCTCAAAGTCAGAAGTGGGGGGAAAAAAAGATAGGTCACTCCAAATATTAGCGGTGTGCTTGCACACTGTGAACGTGTTCATTTTCATTTTAATTGTTAAGATTTACATTAGGCAATGTAATTAATGTGCAGAATTGTTTATTAGTTTTGAAAGGACAGTCATTCATCCTACCAGTACAGGAACATGTGAGCAGAGTAAAAGCAGGGTCAAAAAGCACAGTGGATACTTTACGATACTAAAGGATACTCTATTTATTTTATGATTTAATTCATTATGTTTTATTCTTGGGCAACATCTAAAACCTTTGTTGTTTTTTCCTAATAAATTATTTGAACAGCTGTTGTTATTAAGGCCCTCCATTTTCAAACATTTCTATACATTTAACTTTCCTAATGCAAACAGACTTCTGCAGTGATGCTCAGTTGAGTATCTTTGGATTTGTACCTATGTTTTTCTGCAGAACCACATATATTCATTTTCAATGGAGTAATGCCTGTCAGATCTCCAGGAGACATTAAGATACTCTTTTTTATGGTTATTAAAAAAAAAAACCAAACCCCAAACCAGGAGAGAATCCTTATATCAAAGTTCTCATTGCTATTGAAATGTGGAACTGAAAGGGTCTCATCAAAAAACATTTTTGGTCTTTAATGGAGATTGAATGAAAGCCCAAACCTCAGGCTTTGTTGTTGAGACACAAATATAAATAAGAGACATGGAAATAGTGCTGTACAACGCATCTTATTGAGTTCTTCCAGCGTGGAGGAATGGTTACTCATGTCTGGAAAAGTGTCAAGTTAATGCTTCTGATTAGAGATGGGTGTGAAGCTACACAGTTTGGGCTTGGTTTGGCTGATAACCAAAGTTCCAGGGCGTTGGGATCCAGTCTCTGAGCCTGGCCTCAGCCTCATTTCTAGATACGTTATAAGATTTAGATACTTTATAGTATAGTTAAGATATATTAAATGAAATTAAATGTTAAATTTCACTTATATCACACCGACTTAAAAAAGGGGGGGTGGGAAGAAAAAGGGGTGGAAAGGTTACATTAACACTGCATTGTAAATTTAATACAGCTCCAGATGCCTGAAGAGGGGATTTTTTTAAGTATAATTCTTTAGTTTGGAGAGCAACACCAGCTGCTTTGTGATCACATTAACTGCTTGAAATTTGCTTTGATATTAAGTAGAGCTTCAGAGATACAATGAAAATCTCTTAACTTTCATTTTTTATAATCAAATACAAAGGTTCTCTACTATTGAAAAACTTGTTATACCTCAGAAGTTAAGTGATGTGACCTCAGAAGTTAAAGGATGTATGATCATTATTTTAGTGGGGCTCTTTTCCCCAGTAGTAACATAATTTTATTATGAATCACTGACTACTTTAGTGTCTGTCAGTGGCTAAAGCAGAGAAAGGGAATCTTTCTAGAACTAATGGATATTTTCATGGTTACTTGATGGCTGCCCAAATATGTATGCAGATTGAGTAATATGTCCTTGTGAATTTAACTGAAGCAAATATTGATTATTTGTTAATTACAATATTTCTGAATAAAGATTGTCAGTGGAAAGCCAAAACAGAAAGCATGTGAAGATCACCTATTCAGACCATAGTGCTGACTATTTGCATTCAGCTAGTCTGCGAATCGGAGTTTTCATAGGTATTGTCTTTACTGTCATTGCTGTATTCTCAGTGAGTGATTCTCCCAGGAACAGAATTAACAACAACAACAACCAAAAAAAAAAAAAAAAAGATGCCCTCCATTTAATGAGGACTTCTCCTAGAGAACTTGATTGAAGCCCAATGATACTTAATGCTAACGACTGGTGTGTAATGGGGGACAATAATTCTGTG